CAGTAATCATCTACTATAACGAATAATTCGTTAATGCTATAACGAAGATTCTTATAACGAAGTCCTGATCGGCTGGAGCGGCAACTTCGTTATATCAAGGTGTGACTGTATTAGTAAAGTAAAAATAGTTATATTATCATAAATATAACTACTTGTATATAAAATTATAATTTGAGAATATTTTAAAATTAAATATGAAAACTGTAAAAACTGTAATAAAAATATCATTGTAATTTTTAATGTTATAATATATGTAACAATTAGTTATATTTATAATATTATAATATATATTATAATTAATTTTTAGTTTATATTACAATAAGTTATAAAATTTAAATTGATTAATTGTTACATTACCTTTATTTCAAATATTTAAATTTAATATAAGAATTTAGATTAATCTAAGTTTGAACATAATAAAAATTAAATATATTTTTATATTATTTCATATACTATATAAATAATAAAAAAGGTATAGAAAAAAAAATCTTTTGTTAATACAATCCATTATTTTATATAATATAATCTTTTTAGTTTATTTCTTTTGATATTAGAAAAGAACTATATATTTATAATAATAATAATAATATTAATAAATTACTTTTATAATATTTGTAATTTTTATTATACAAATTATATATAAAAAGTGATATAATCAAAATATAAACAAAATCTAAATTACTTATTAACTAATAAAATGCATATATCTCTAATGCAAATTATATAATTGAGTGTAACTATTTGGTTTATTTACTATATCATTTATAATTATTATTAAAAAAATTCTTATTTTATTTTAAATAACAATTTGAGGTTTAATAAGTAAAACTTGGTTTTTTATATTAAAATCATACTAAAAAATTTGAAGAAATTCAGAAAAAATAAATTATATTAAAACATAAAAAAATGTATATTATAATATTAAAACCTTAATAAATAATTAGCAAAACTAAAGGTTAGACATTTTGCCAACTCCATAATGAATTTAGATAAGTAATTTAAATACAATAAAATATAAAAATGAATTTATTTATTAGAGTAGATAGCAGTGATGATTGCTTAGCATAAATGAGTAGAACTATTACTAAAATAATTAAATTAAAATAATTTACATAAATTTGGCATATGAAATGTAATATACTCTTGATTAAATTATAATATTAAATTATAAACGCATAAATTATTTTGTTCAACCAGTATTGAACATTTAATTTAATCTATCTGTAATGATATTTAAATGTCGAATCATTTTTTTAAAAAAATCCGAATCTAGTAGGTGTATTGTATTTGAAAATACCTGATGATTTTTTTAAACATTCTGACTTTGACTTTTTCACAAACTGATACTGTATGACACATATTTCTTGTTCATGAGCACAAATGTTCGTATTGTTACTTTAAAGAGAATGTTCTCAGATGTAAGATGAACTATATATAGAAGAATTATTGGCAGAGTTCAAGGAAAACGATCCTCTATTTTTTTTTTTAAAATTAAATAAATAAATTTTATTATAATTATTATTTTTGATAAATACTAGTAAGAAAATTTTGGATAATATATAATTTATTTTTCATCATCATCTTCAAATTGATTATCATGTACCAAAAGAGAATTAAATTCATAATCATTAGTTGAAGTGGGTGAATCTTGCATAACAGTACGTCTAGTTTGCGTATCAAGTGGAATTGGATGATTAGATAATTTATCATATTTTGGTTCACCATTATTTCTTCCTGATTTCCAGTAAAGATCAATAAATAGATTAATTGAAAGAAAGGATAAGAAAGAGATTGTAATAATAATTAAAGAATAAGAATATGGATCGATTGAATTGGCATCCAAATAAATGAGTTGCTCTTCATTAGCTCCCATGAACAACAGACCGGAAAGGATCAAAAGCTATTTCACGAAAAAATACAAATTATATTAACTTTTGATAAAGTAAAACTTTTTCCCAAATCAAATAAATTATTGTACTTACGAATGGAGGCAATTGTTGAATGACTTTAATTGATCCAATATTGTTTGTAAAGAAGCATACTTCAATAATCCTTATTAATCCTGCACCCATCAATGAATAACCAAAAACTGCATGAACCACGATTGATACTTCTAACAATTGTGCATGAGTACTCATAACGAAACCAGTAAATAAAATAACAAGTCCTGGAAAGACATTTCTCTTTCCATTTCTTGAAAGATAAAATCCAACCAAACCACCAGCCCACCACATTATTCCAAGTGCAGTATGCTGATAATCCTTATGGGTCCATGGCTATAATAAAAAAATTTAATAAAAAATTGAATTAGTACTCTGTCATAAATAGATTAAGAATAAAAATTAGACATATTTCTTTTATTTTTTAATAATTAAAAAAAAAACTCACTTCATTCCATCTAAATATCGAACATAATAGAAATCATTTATTATGAGCAAAGAAAAATTATTAAAAATCAATCAATCATGAATGAAAAATATAAACCTGTGTTCTGTCCAAGTGTTCATGAATCCCCACATCATGATGATCAAACTGTCAAAATAATCTTGTGATTTGCCCTTACTTCGAAGCCATTCACTTCCAATTCTCAATAATAATATCGTCATCATGCCATAAGCAATAAATGATGACCCCATAATAAAATGAGCAAGACATTGACCCAAATGATCATCTCTATTAAAATAAAGGATGAATAGTTTATTAGATAGGGTCGTTATGATGCGAATATAATTGCTTCATATTACATACCGACACCATCCAGTTGCGGTTATAACACCGAATACGATTTGTATGTAACCAATAATAGGCATACTTATTCCAATTAATTTATGAATTTTTACGCAAAGAGGTCCAAGCCATTTATTAAAACCATATTCTAAATGTAATTTAAGATATATACCCAAAGAAACTTGGCTAGCTAAAGTTAAGACAACAATCGTAGCAAAAGATCCATGAATATTATCACCGCTAAATTGCCTTCCACCATGAGCGTGACCAAGGAAATAACCAATCAATAATAATAATGAACCTAGGATTTGAAGTGGAATATGCCACTTAGACCTACTAAGACCCAAGACCATACCTTTGAAATTAAATGTATTGATTATTCATTCATAGACATCAAACAAAAGGTACGTGCCATTTATTTTTTTTTCTTTTTACCAGATATAATAAAATATATTATTACATACCAGCTGGAAATATTATTCCAAACGCTAAAGACATAAAAGTTATATGAGCCCATAGAATTCCGTCAATGGGAGTTTCAGTTGCACCGACATTGTCCATAAGTTCATGATGTTCATGGGCATAGACATTTCTTGATATTAGCGAAAGTAATATAAAAGGAAGAATACTTTTTAACAAGATCATTATTATTCGGAAAAATCCTCATACAAAAAATTAATTTAATTTATATGTGAGGCTATGTTATTCACAGCCCAAATACTATGATCGGTTGATTTCCAAATTCAGCCATATATAATTCTGTTTTGATGAAAGTTAATGTTCTACTTGATTGGTGCAGTAAAATGTGATTTTTATATGCCCGATTATGCTCTCTAGCATTTGATGACTTGGAACTAGCAATTAATATCAACAACTTGAAAAGGTGCAAGAAACGGTTCATTTTGATGCTATCACAATTAATTTGATTTTTACCGTTTTAGAGTCGGATTTTCCATTTTCTACAACCATGCTTAGCTTAATGTTCCTAATTTGGTATTTATACGGTTGATGCATAATCTCGATTTTTGAGATCCTAAAAGTAGATATTATAAATAAAATAGTTTATATCATAATGAAAGTTTTGCATTACTAACTAACTTGAATGAGGTCTTATGTATGTGTAACACAGTTAACCCCTAAGCGCTTTTTTGCCAAGTAATTTCTCAAGAAATTTATTAATACGAAAACCGTCCTTACTTTATCTACAATAAATAATTACTTACATATATTCCTGTTGCAGTTCCAAGAACTGAAGTTCAGATATGCTCGCAATTCTGTTTAAAGTAAGACTTGTAAAGGAATTAAACTATTTTTAAATTCATTACATATCGGAGTGACCATAAAGAACTCGTGTTTCTTTGTGCCATTGATCGGATGGAAAAACAAGCGGTTTATATGTTCGTCATAGATCAAAGTCACGAAATTACAATACAACTGAGGCAAAATACCATCATGTAATTTTTTTTATACGTTAAAAATAAATCTCGTAAACTTAACGAATTTCAGTCCATTTGATTTAAAAATCATTTAAAATTGAATTATTAAGACTTTTAAGGATTACATTTATAGCTGTGCCAAACAATCAAAGTGGAGCTAATCCCAGATAATCGACAAAATTCGTATCCAATATCGTTGCCATATGATTAATAGACGTTAGTTATTAAAATATTTACGGAAGTAATTAAATAAAAGAGCATACTAAATGAACTCCTTTAATTCTGGAATGTATCTAAACGCCTAATAATCAAAATGGAAAGATATGTCAATTCATCAATTCTTTTTCCGAGTTTAATTCCAAAATTCCAAAGATAAATAATGTTCGGCGAATATAAAAGTGATTTAAACTACGTAACGGCAAACATTGAAATTCGTTATTTACTTAACGAAAAAATAATATTACAAAATTCCACTTAAAGTTATGCAACTATTATTTTTCTTTATAAGCGTGAAAAGAAAATTTAATATATAATAAGCGATAATTGATTAGGTTTCTTAATGTTATCATGTGAACCCGTAAAATTCTTTTTTTCAATGCATTAATAAAACCATTGCAAAAAAAAATAAAAATAAAAATAGAAATGATATATTTCAAAAGAGTCTTCCGATATATTTTTGTTCGTTCGTTAAATTATAATTCATTAACGTATCAAAAGGTATCGTAGTGAGCCGTCATGAGTATAAATCAGTTTATGCTTGATATCATCAATATTATTGTGTAGACATATCGTAAAGTTAAATAATGTTTTTTTTTTTTTTTTGGGCAATCAATCAAAGAATTCATCATTTGATTTTTTTGTTCCTTTTTTTCACATCACACCTTCTTACACAGTAAATTATTCATCAGTATGCATCATATTTTAGACTCACATACTCAATTTACGTCACCCTTAAACAATATTTTACATTTCAATAATACCAATGAAATGGATGGGACGTTAAAAAGAAAAGAACATTACCCAAGATATTTATAATTTAATAATATGACATGTACATTCTTAATAGCTTTGTTTATAAATTACTTGTCATTCTGCACTATCTTGAAAAAAAAAACTCGTCCTTGAACTCTCTCTGGTGGAGAAAAAAGACGTTCTATACCTTCTCAACAGAAAAAAAATATATTTAGGACGAAACCTTTTCCTTCATCACGTGGCGTAAAGTGATCTAACTTTAATAAATTGAATTGTGAGTTTATTTAATTTATCAGAGACTAACTTTTTCCTTTTTTTTTCATTTTCTTGTTCATTATCGAAAGTAAAAGAAAAAGTAAATATTTAAATATAACATGCTTTTTGAAACCGATTACATAATTCCTGTACAATATTAACATCATTTATTTATATTGTATATATTTAACGCTTTTATTTTTTATATATTTTTGTGATTTTCTACCTAAGTATGTCAGGAAATACACAAGACGAATCGTTTGAGGAAGCAAGCGACACATCTAATGATGAATATACTAATGATACAAATCAACCATCACAAGATTCTTGCCAATCTGATGAAGTTTATTATCAGTCTGATGAATCCGAAACTGATAATGAGCTACTTCCTTCTTTAAGTTTGGACGAATGCACGCAAAATCAAGATACCCTTGTAACTCCTCCTGTAGAAAATGTCTCCGATTCTTCTGCAACTGACGAAGAAGTCACTAACGAAACTTCAAATGTTGATTCAGAGCTGAATGACTCTCACGAAACAATTCATGAACAGCAACATTACGACGAATGTTTTCAACAAAATATCAATCAACCGAATTTAAATGAACGTGCTTATTATGCAAACGTTTATCAATATATTCCTCAAGCCGCTATTGACCAAAATGTCTTGTCGAATAATAATAATTACGTGTTAGCACATACTAGAATTGATCCAAATTTATTAAATGTTGAAAATAATGTGACGATGCAAGCCACCGCCGATTACGTTCGGCCTTTAACGATCGTCAGGAATAACCCGATATCGAATAATCAATCGCAGTATTGGAACGAAACGCGTCCTTTACCGTCTCCTTATTATGGAACGATTGCTAATGGCACAAACACCTTAGGATACGGACAGCTGATAAATGATCTTAACGCTTCACTGGCAGCGAATCAACCCTTTAGAGAGTACTTGGCCTTGACAGAGTCGCAATCTAATAAAAGGAAGAAAAAAAGAGTTAGAAAACCAGAATCTGAATATTCACGTAGGTTTTCTTCTATAACTTCTCCCAATATCATCGATGGAATTCGTCAGACTGAGATTGCGCAATGTTCGAATTGTGGCGTACATGATACTCCTGCCTGGAGACGCGATTTGCAAGGAATTGCTTTGTTGTGTAACGCCTGTGGTCTTTAGTACGTACCCATAAAATTTTCATTATCTATTTCGATTTGATTTACATGATGAATAATCTTGAATCTTTTTTTGAAGTTTAAAAAACAAGGGTATTCATCGACCAACCGAATTAGCTCCGGACGGAACCGTCAGGTTTAGAAGAACACAACGTCCATAATCAGAATTTGCGTGTCATAATTGCGGAACGCGTAATGCTCCTTGTTGGGGAGGCCCGGAAGGACAAAAACTTTGTAAGTTACTCACTTTGTAGGTTGGTTCGTTTTTTATTATGAACTTCATTTGTGCCTTTTATGTCAATTTGATTTCTTAGTATTTATTGATTTCACGTATATATTTTGAAATTTATAAGGTAATAAATGTGAATTACTTCATAAAAACCCACGACCTTCGATTTCTCCTTCAAAGCCTAAATTAGAATTGGTGAAATTTACTCACGATCGTAACGAACTTTTGTAAATAAAGAAATATATTTTTTTCCTTCCTCAATCTGTGGCCATTATTATGTTCGGAGGTTCGATAATCCGATAACTGAAAAATAAGCCTTTTCCTTGATACGATATTTATTTTGTTGTTTATGGTTAGAATAACTTGGATTTTGAAAAATGGAGAACATTTTAATGGATATTAGTGATAAAGTAATTTAGTTAAGCTATAAGTTTTGGTTGTTATTCATGTAAAGACTTTTTTTGAATATATTTCATTAATCTGTCAGCATTTGTTTTGTATATTGCAAAATTATTTTAAGTTGTAAATACAAATATCAAACACAAACCCTTTTGCTTTACGTATGTGCTTTTTTTGACAAATCAAGACGAAACCTTTAAGAAATGCACGACTCTGCAATTATGATTTACAGGACAAATGATATACAGGTTGAAATTATGGAAAATTCTTGTCAGAATTTTTGGATCTGGATGCAGCCCTACTTGATATAGATTAAATTTCTTTTTTTATGTATATATAAAATAATATAAATACATAAAATTACTTTTCAATTTTCAAAAAAAAAAATAAAATAAAAAAAATGATACGGCCTCGAAATATTCTTGACATCAAATAAATTGAAGTTCTGAATCAGATGATTAAAGTTACGTACTTGGGAATATAAAATCGTCAATCTGGTGCCCTTTTCCTAGTATTTACCCAAATGTTAACGAGCAGTATTACGGATTTGTAAGATTTAAGTACATTACGCGACAAATAAAGGCGCATGTGATAGATCAATGTTCACTCATTTTTAACACATTTTTATCCAATCGAGATTCATCAAAGGAAAAATCTTCTTTCTTGCGTAACTTTGTAATAAATTAAACATTGTATTTGAATTTCCAAAAAAGAAGTCGGAAACTTTTCAAGAAGTAACAAAGTCGTTTCAGATGAACTCATACGATTGTAAAATTAAATTCCTTACTGATATTTTTAAAAATAACAAAAGAAGTAATTATTATGTTTTCCCGGGATTTTTAAAGATTTTCTTAATGTACGAAATTAGGAAAAGAATTATTGGTAGTTGGATTCACCAATAACGAGAGAATTATGCGCCATACCTATGCATTGATTATGACGAGAAAAAAGAACACGAAATAAATCGAACAAATAAAAGTTACGTTTCTAGTGAAGTTTCTCTCATTCAGCGAAGCAAAAAGAAAATATGCATAATTAAATAACCAAATTTGGTAAGTTCAATCATAAGCTTTTCAAGAATACACCTTAATAGTGCTCGAGAAAAGAAGTATTTAAACCCTTGAAAATTTCCCGAGTAAATAATATTCAATTTATAAACTCCTCTTCACAATCACCCTTCAAAAAAAAAATCATCTTTGCATTCTTTCTTTATAGCAAGGATTACATCATCTCGTTTCCAATTTTATCACCTCCGCACATTTTTTTTTCCGACTTTCAAAAATGAAGTTCTTTTCCAACACTTTTTTGGTCCTCGGTCTTTTGGTTGTTGGCGGTTTAACTGCTCCAGCTCCAGCGATTGAAGAACGTGGCATTAATGGAATTAATTGTAAAGTAAGTATTACATAACATATATATTAAAAAGGGGAATTTTAGTAATAATAATTGAAAAACCAATTTTTTATTTCAACTAGGTCACGTCATTACAACCAAAAACATGGCAATTGGGCAAAGACGCTCAAGTCGAATGGGCCTGCACTGGGTTCAAAAGGGGTTTCCGAAAAGCTCCCGCCGAAGATTTAATTTTTATCGAAATCGGTACCGGTACATCCAAAAACTTCAAGTATGTATTATTTTTTTTTTTTCTGATTGTAAAATTTTTAATGATTTTTATGTTTAAAAATTTTTATTTTATTTAATAATAGATATGTTGATACCATTGATGATCGTGCCAAGGTTCGCGAGAAGTCATTCTCTTGGAAATTAGAACGTCCATACAAGCCTGGCAAAAATTATATCATTAGATTAAGACATAAAAAGAAGGGGGACCAAGATCCAACCGACTTTAAAGCATATGAAGCTTTGGATTGGAAATATTCCAAGAATTTTGAGCTTAAACCTTTTGCCAAAAAATAAATATACACAATATATTAAAATTTGAAATAGATGTATTTAAATTTGTAATTTAATCAATAATCAAAAAAAAAATTATTAGATATATAATAAACACATCTCGTTTTTTGTACTTGAAAAAAATATATATATATATATTTTGAATAAATCTATCTATGTATTCAGTAGAAAATTTGTTGTCTCATATTGATTGTAGATCATATTAATTATATTAATTAAACATTATTCGTCATTGATTACGAAGTCAGCCTGAACAAGAGATCTGCACTGTGAAAGAATTTAAAACAACCGTTAATAATTTTCCTATACAAAATTTTGATAGGCTGAATTTTGAGTTTTGATTGGACGATCTTTATTATGATGTACCACCTACTTGCATATAAAAATTTCGTCTCCACTTTTTCTGTTTTTTATGATTAATATTATTGAATTACAAATAATTCTTTTTATGATTCATCGTTATTAAAAAACGTGTCAAATCTAAGTTTTGGTACCGTCTTTTCCTGCAGTCAATTCATTATCAAAAGTGGACCCTTTGAAAAAAAAAAAAGGAAACGAATAAGTTACGATAAAAATTTATTAAAATAGTTAATAACTATGAGCTCTACAAGACCCCGAAGAAGTAAATATAAGATGATACGTCATCAATTCTTGAATTAACTAATTAAACCTTTTACCTTTTTTTTATAGCTAAAAGAACGCTGAGTTCTACAAAAGCGGCAGCGTGGGATGAATCAAATTATGAACCAAATCAAGATGAGGATGAGGAAGAAGAATTTGAGGAAGTAGAGGAGTTTGGAGAATTAGAGGAGGGTGAAGATGACGGTGTTGACATGGACGTATCAGAAGTAGAAGCAGGAGAGACCGAAGAGTCATTTGAAGAAGAGGTAGAACTTGAAGAAATGCCAAGACGTAAACTTAGTGGTAAATTTGAAACTTATGAAGTTGATTCGATAGTTCAAAGGAAATTTGAAAATGTATGCGAAATATTTCTCATAATCTTACCGACAACATTCAATTCCCGAGTGCTAACCATCGTTCATACGTCATAGGGTCGTGAAATGTTTCTGGTTCAATGGAAAGGTTACGCGAGGCCTACGTAAGTTTATAATAATAGATTAACTGTACATAATTTTTTTAATCTCAAATTTAAATTACGACAATTGATTTTTTAGATGGGAATTACGTGAAAATTTGGATAATTGCAGTGAAGCATTGGATGCTTTTTTTAATTTAGTTAAAGATGCCAATTTTGATTCAAAATCGGATACTGACTCAAAGCATGAAAAATGGAAAGTTTCTATTAGAGAAGCTTTTGAAGCAAGTCAAAAATTTGATTATGAAATTTATGAAAAACTCATCCTTAGGAGAGGCCTTATTGAAGTTGGTGAAGGTTATAAGATTGAAAATGTCCCTTTTGATAACATTGCAAGTAGACAAAATAGTGGCTCTAGTTCCAAAGGCTAACCATTAAATGGGTTCCTAATTTTTTTTTTTTATTTTTTATTTATTTATTTTTGTTTTGATTAAAAAGAATCTGTTCAAATTAGAATCGATGTTATTATCCTCCCTTTCTACCACAAATCACAATCAGATCATATGTGATCGTGAAAATAATTTCGTGATCGTAGATATAATTTATCAGCTGGTGATATCGTTTTCGTTTGTCCTCTTAAAAAGGATGTAAAAATCGATAATCATGCATTGTTGAACATCATCGAATTCTGTCATTGATCGTTGAACTTTAAGTGTCTTAATTAGGATTTGTCAATACATTCTACCCGGGGCTTGCTCGCATTTTTGAATTTTGTTGAAAAATAGGCGGGCTAAATATATTCAAGCTTGCTTTGTCAAGAAAATTTTGACGTACAAGTTGAATTAAAAGGCAGAGTTTATAGAAAGAAATCCTTCAAAAATTTTTACATGAAATTTCTTAAAATAAAATAAAATAAAAAATGGTATAAATGTGTGAACAATTGATATTACCAATTTCATTGAAAAACATTAATTCTGATATGAATTGTGGTTAATCAATTTAATTCAGTATATTCTTTTTTTTTTTTTTTAAAAAAAAAAAAAGTGGAAAAAAAAAAACAAAAAAAAAAAAAAATTCTACAATATTGAAAAATGCTTCAAAAAATAATAATGATCTGGGATCCTGCCCACGTTATTAAAAAGGAATGAAAATTTACAATGAAAAATAATTGATTGTCCAATCTTAAAAAAAAGTCTATTAATAAAAAAAAATGGGGGTAAACTCCAAAATAACTATATGGTGTGTCGGTCCAACACTCCTTTTGCGATAACATCGACCTTAACTTCGGAGTTATGTGCCGATTGTATTGTAACAATCCCCTTAACTTCGCCTTCGGCCCTTGGTTGAAAACGAACGGGAAGAATAGCAAACCCCTCAGATTTAATAACAACACTATTCATTGGAAGAGATAAAACATATTTTCCTCCAGGACCGGTTGAAGTTTCAACTTTACAATTCAGTCTAATTGATTCCTTTGAAATATTTGATATTTTAATACCCATGGATCTTTGTCTTCCAACCCTTGTAGGAGGCATTTTGACCTCAGATCCTTCAACTTCAAATTTCACTTCTTTTTTTGATGGTTTATGTTTTTGTAATAAAGTACTAAAAGTATTTTCAGTAGCAACCCCTTGAAAGCTCATACTAACAGCATCGACATCATTTGTGAGATTTCCTGAAGCATCTTCCAAAACAAATTTTTGTATATAAGTCCCAACACCTAAAGGACGAAAATGTACATCAACCCTTTCAGCATGTTTTGGTCCTAGAAATCCCCTTGGGTTGGTTATCAAGAAAATGTCATCATCAACATTTGTAGCAGCATTTGTTGCGGTTCCTAAACGACGAAACAATGCTTTTTCAGCTGGGGTTAAACTCCAAGAAATTTGATGTTCCGTTGGATTAAAGACATGAAAGACTCCAATTGTTAATTCACGTATATTGGCAGAAGGAAAATTAATTTCACCGGGAACACCAAGATGTATAAAGTTACTGCTAGTGAGTGGTTCTCTTATTGGTTTCATTTCATGATTTTCAGACTGTAAAAATCCTGTAGTATTTTTTCGCTTAGAGACATCTGGAGTATTTGAACGACTTCGGGAAGGAGTTCGAGAACCTGTTGGAGTTGAAGCCGCTTCCCTATTCACCCTTCGAGATAATCTATTGGGGTCTGGGGTGTTTGAACGACTATTCATTGTACGAGAAACGGGAGAAGAAGTTGGGCTCTTATTACTACGCTTAGAACTTTTTTCACTACTTGGAGTATTTGACCTACTACTATTACTTGAAGGAGTTTTTGGTGACCCTGTTGTGCCATTTCCTACTTCAACCGCTGTTTCATCTGTATCTGGAGTATTTGAACGTGTTCCATTAGGCAAAGTCGTTGTCGTATTACTTTTAACATTAGTCTTGTTTAGTTCCGAAGATATTGGAGGAGAACTAAGCGGGGAAGACAAAAAAGTGCGAGTACTTGGTACCTCATCACTTTCCAGTATTGTTGGAAGGTTTGATTGACCAGCAAAAAATTCTGTTGCGTCAAAGCTTTTGTTATCTTCCATAATGTATTAAGGACAAATTAAAGTCGTGAAAAAAAAAAAAAGTTTTCCTTTTTTTTTTAGAAAAAGTTTTTTTTTGAATCGATCAAATATGAACTGCAATGTTTATGATAACTGCACTTTATATACGCAAATACAGGTTGTGTGTTATACATGTTTATTTTGCTCAGATCCCTTGGTGGCTTGAAAACTTTTTTTTTTCCCCGTTTTTTTTTTCCGCATCAAGGAAATCCTCAAGTGGCTAATTATCAAACCGAAAGTAACGCAAGTATATGCGAAAAGCAAAAGAAAACGAAAAGGATCGTCAAATTGATTGACATTCTACTTCTTGAATAAAACCCGTTTTGAATTTACCCTCCCTTTAAATAACTTGTATAGAATCGGATAATCAGAGATTAGTTGATTTTGCTTTTTTAGTAATACTTGGTCATTGAGGTTTTGTAATAGACAAAATAATAGTAATATTTGGTCATTAACGTAATGACTCATGTCATCTTACCCGATTTTTAGTATAAATACAATATGAACTCTTCTTGATCATTTCCGGATAATTTCTTGAATAAATAAATAAATAAAAATATTATAAAATAAGAAAATCATGAATTATAATAAAACTGACGTTAAAGATATCAAGCAAGTCCATTCTAATTCTGCAGACGCAATGATTGCAGGCGCTCGATCCGGTAAACCTTTAGCAGATTGATACCTTTTTTCTCTTGTTATTTTGAATGTCAAAAGTGTTAATGATTCTCATCATAAAATTTCAACGTAGCTGCAATGATTGATGAAGATATCGCTTGTGCGATGCCTGAACTCTGTAAATCGATCCCCTCACCTGAGTCCGGAAAGTCCCTTCAAGTTCTCAAGGTGATCTTTTCATACCTTTTTTTGGAATTTATGATAAATTTGAGATAATGTTGATACTTTACATTTGGTAGTACTTATACATCAATTTATTTTTGTTTTGTTTTCTTTAAAAATCATAAAGGGTAAATTTGGCAACTTTATGAGTGAACGACGTGCGTCAAAGCCTGACAAAAACAAGAAAGATCAGACCAGTGATTGAAGGGCGGTTGACCAAATTTAAATTTCCCATCAACCCATCAGAAAATTTTATTATTGTTTGTTGTCACCTTATTGTTGTAATTATTATCATTTGTTTTCAAATTGGAAAAAACGAAAAACTTTTTTTCATGATACATAATCATAAATCAAGTTAAATTGTTGGTTTCTCTTTTTCTCATTAGAATTTCTTTTTTTTCAGCCGCAAAAACTTATTCCACTATTTCCTAACCTTTGAAAATAAACCGGTTTTATAGTTTAATCATTAAGAACAACCGCTGTGTAACGACACAACGATCAAATATTTGATCGAAACGGGTGCGTTTTTTGGTAATATAAATTACGGAGATAATATTAAATAGTTTCGACCAGATTTAAAAATATCGAATGGCCAATGGTAATTTAGTCCGATCTTTTATACTGGCATTTGTCGGCGCAAAATCTTTTTTATTTTTAAAACAAATATATATATATATATATATACCCATTGTATCGTTGGTTATTAAATTGTTAATTGACAAAGTGTGCGCGATGCATCGCATGTTAATAAATAACCGTGCGTTCATTTCAAAATTAAATTTTTTTTTTAAAGAATTGAGATCTTGAATCTGCGAACTAGTTTCTTAGCTGCTATTTTGATGAAAAAAAAAAGTAATTCCATTACAATATCTTCTGATATTTACACAGAAATTTTCAATAATTTATTCGATAAATTAAAAATTCCCTTTATTGGTAATTTACAAATCCTAAAACTGTAAAGCGTCGTACAAATGTCTATCAATTTGGTAACGAATTAGCGTAAATGATCAAAATTTTCATAACCCATTGATATGAATTTTACATCTAAATCACCAAAACCAACCCTCTTTCTTTGGATGTCCAAATTTGACGACTTGGTCATTCTTTTTGCTCCATATTATCTCTCTCGTTCTTTGTTCCTTATCAACCTCTTCAACCCTTTCACAAACATTGTCTAATTTCTCATCAAAATCTTCACGATTTACAAACTCTTCGAAAAGATTTTGTAAAATTTTTGAATCGGCTTTAACGCATTGTTGATCATCGATCATGATAATATTATCATGATCCAACATTTCTATCCATTTCGGATTTCCCGTAATAATTCTACAATCATTTATTGTTAATTTCTTTTCTTCAGATTTTACCAAAGCCCTAATTAATTTCCATGCACATGATGCGTATTTTTGACTGTCAAACGCTGTCTCTTCAAAATCTGGGATTAATCCAATTTGATTTGTCAACCACGTTCTTTCTTCATTTTCAAGTTTCTCTGTAGTTACTACATGATGAAAAGAGTTTAATTTTGGTCATTAAACGTAATTAAATTTATTTTTATTTATTTATTTTGAACTATTTACTCACTATAAATATCATCTTCTCTTCCCAATCGATTTACATAAGAAAGGCGACCTCCGATACGATTTATAATAAGGTTTTTAAGATCTTCATCAGGTTCACGACCCCTACGTTTTTCTTTCAATAATCTTACGGCTTCCTCGGGTGATAGATCATTAACCCTAATGACTTCCATACGAGATGCGTCTCGCTCTGATTAATGATAAATTATCTCGGACATTTAGAATCCATAAATAAAAGATTTAATCTGACCAAAAAAAAAACATTCTAAACTCACTCAATCGCTCATAAACAGAATAATCATCGGTGTTAAAAACCATTGTGACAAGTCTAGCAGCAGCCCATGATTCTGCTCGTTGTTGCAAAAGTTCCAACAAGTCTATACCATCATCATCATCTTTAAATGCATGAATGTTATTAATAATTAGAACTAATGGACGACCTCTTCTTCTAACATATTTAGTCGCAACCTGTTCTATCATATTAAAAGCCTTTTCAACATCCAACAAAGCAGACCCTGATAAAAGAAAAAAGATTTAAATCAAGAGAGTTCAATTAAAAGATGTACTTTTTTTATAAATGAATACCTCTTTCAGGGGCTTCTCTGGCAAAGAGTTGACCAACATAATCTTCCCTATAAGTATAACTTAAGGCCCTCCCTAATCTGGTTTTAAAAACTTCACTATCTGAATGAGCCTCACAAAATACAATCCCATAATGTCCAATCTTTTCCATTGCATTTAATACTAATTGGGTTTTTCCAGTTCCTCTTTCACCAACAAGTAAAAAATATTTTGATTTATTATGACCCGCTACAACGGATGCAATTTTTTTTTGTTCTGCTCTGGCAAAAAATGATTCTGATGTTCTTGACTTTAATAATGGGATCGGTTTTGTAAATGCCAACAAAACTTTATGCTGTTCATTCCATTCATACCTTTATTAAATAATATTTTTTTTTATTAGGAAAAAAAAAATCGTAAATACTTCATTTTTTAATTATTTTTTATTTTTTTCTTAATTAAAAAAATAATAATAATAATAAATCTTTTTGAAATTTACCATTCTTGATAAACTACACCACCAAGACCTACAGCTGCTAGACCCATTACAGTAGTTAAAACAGCATCCATGACACGAGGGGAAAGTACTGGTTTTGGAGGTGGATGATGACCAGAACCACCTTTGATTGATGGTTTTTTTTTTTTCTTTGGATCATCCTCATCGTCACCCAAAGCAGTTTCTGCCGAGTATTCCACAATTGGCTGAAAAGGATCTAAGAAGGTTTTAATTTAAACAGTTGAATGATTACATAAATAATTTCAAACTTACCGGGGAAAGGATCCCATACTCCCGCCGCATTAGTATCTTGGTTCAAATGTCTTTTTTGTAGAGGGATCGGATTTCTAGCATTTGATAATTTGTCCAACCGAGATATTGGATTTATCGAATTCGACTTTTTATTATTAGTTGAGTGTAATCTAGTTAAATATAGTTGACCGCGTTCTTTTGATACAAAATTTACATGATGAAATTGAAATCTAGATGTAACATGAATTAAACGATTAAATCGAATCATGTTTAGGAAAAAGAATAAATTATCATTGAGAAATAACAAATAAATTAAAATTTACAACAAGTAAAATAAAGGCAGAGAAAAAGAACAATCTATTTTTTTTTATTTTTTTTTTATTTGTTCCTTTTTTAATATATCTGATCGAGATTTTATTGAAAACATTATATTTAAAACTTACCCGATTACACAGAATCTAGAATGATACCAAATTTGTAATTTGCCGTGTGGTGTAACGAGTGTGGTTATGGGACTGTCGGGTAAAAATGCAAAATCAATTGTTTAAATTTGTGGAAATATTTTAAATTATTTAAATTATCAAAATTGACCAATGCTGAAAGAGAATAACCATATATTACCAGGGATTCGAGATATCACATATTTTGGTGACATCAGCAAAGGTTCTATATGATTATATTTGGAGTCTAAATCAGTATCTTTTGGTTGAAGATATGAACATATATATATTACATATGTCAATGACGAACTATACAACAAAAGCGGAAAATGAAAAAGGGTTTAAATTTTTTTTATTGCCTTTTTTATTGATTTATTGATTGAAAATTTTTCCTCACATAGTTTTAAGTTTATTTTTGTAATTGATCAGAAATAGAAATGTCAATCATTAAAAGTACAATTTAATTTGATAATGCTTGGCAATATTTTGAAATGAATATCATTTTTTTAAAATAAAGCTATTTGTTGAGTTGAATTTATCATTCACGTATTTAACCTTAATGCGTAAGTGAAGACATACTTCCTTACTTCAACATCAATAAGTTTTCATGGAAATTTTTGGTAGTCACACACTTTACAATCAAATCGAAAAGGATTGGTTCTCAATCACTTTAAATGAACAAATCTGGATAGTCCAAAAATATGAACTGAACAATGTTTGGTTACACCAATTTACTTGGCAAATTATAGCAGAAATTGTTTCAAAAAGATCCGAAAAAATTTTTTATTTTTATAGGCAGGAGTAAAGGATTTTTATATCGAATGCTCGAATTTTTCTTTCCTTTCTTTATATAGATTTTTTTTTTTATTATACCGGATATTTTCACCTTCTTTTCAATCATTTTTTTTGTAAGGTCGTAAAGACATCTTACAAATCCCTCTTGCAATAGCAAGAATCTCATCCCCCGAATTTAAGAGAATAGCTTTGGTTTGATTTTTAAATAATTTGAAGTGTAAATTTAAATTAATTATAGAAATAAAAAAAAAAAAATGGCATACCCATCATATTACAATAATCCGTCTGGAACGGGTCAGGAATCGATGCAAGATAATAATCCTTATGTTAATACTAATCTTACTCCACGAAGGAATTATGGTGATCGAAACCAACAACCAAATGTTCCTATAAATTATAATTTACATCAACCGCAAGATGCTTATCGTACAACCGATAAAGAGAAAGAAGCCTTTAAATATAATAATGATGTGGAAGCTCCCAAGATAAACAAGCAAAAGAATCAAATTATCACAAAAAGTCCTGTGAAATGGTATAGAAACACGAGAGCGGTTTTACAGATGTTTAAATCAAATTTCTTATTGATTTTTCTTCCTCCCGCAATTATCATGAAAAAATTTGGTGTAAATGAAAATGTGTTATTTTTCTTCAACTTTTTGGCTATCATCCCTATGGCAAAAATTATGACCGTGGGCATAAACGATCTCTCTGCAAGATTGCATCCGGTAAAGAAGCGATTTATTTATTTATCCCAATATCGATGATAAAACGAATGATTTTCTAAAAAATAAAAAAAAAATCAAAAATTTTTTTTATCGATCTTTTTTTAGGCTTATGGGGCTATACTTCATGCCTTTGCGGGAAATTTTGTTGAACTTGTAATTTCGAGCTATGCCTTAATGGACAAACAATATGCAATCGTCCGTTCTTCTGTACTTGGCGCCATTTTATGTAATATTTTGTTGGTACGTTTTTACATTGTTATGTGGCGCAGCACGAACAACTCTCGTTTCAAAAATGGGTTGGGTCAATTTAAAAATTTGTCTAAAACGCGATTCTTTTTGAATATATAGATTCTTGGTGTTGTATTTTTGGCGGGATCTTGGCCGAAAAAGGGAGCCAATCGTCAGTCCATGAATGCGCATTTAAAAACACAACTTTTCGTTTCCACAAGTGCTTCAACACTCGCTCTTGCAGTTCTCGCCTTAGTAACACCGGCAGCATTTAAAATAGCCGCTCCAGAGGGCACAGGCATCGAATGTGATTTACAAAACATTAGTCATGCTACTGCGATTATTCTACTTTTTGTGTATGCCGGTTTATTAGTTTTTCAACTGAAAACTCACGTTCAAGAGGTATGATTTCGTTGTAAATTACTCGTTATCACTGAATGAATTTGCTTATTAAAGAAAAAATTGTATTTTTATTTAGACTGTCGATCCTGATCATCATAAACATGAAGCACAATATTTCCTTGTTTTTGATATCTTTTTGTAAGCAAATATTATTATTTGATTATTTGATTTAAATACGTGTTAGGACATTTCAACTCAATATGAACTATTATGCTTTTGTAGAATCGTTGCTTCTATTTCTGGTATTACCGTGTGTGCTAGATACTTGGTTACAAGCATTGAACATTTAGCCCACAGTTTTCATTTTGGTAACGGATTTATTGGAATGGTTCTTTTGCCCCTTTGTGGTATGGACAACATTTATTAAGAGAGTTAAATTTGGCTTAATTTTTTTTTAATTTGGATCTAAAAAAAAAATTCTTTTTTTTTTCTTTGATATCAGTTGTTTCCAATTTCATGGAACATTATGACGCTATTAAAGAAGCTTCGGAAGACAAGGTTGATACTGCCGTCAGTTTAATTCTTAATACATCAGTTGTAAGTAATCTTATTTTAACAAATCATATATATATATAAAATTCTTTTTAAAAAAAATTTCTAGTAATAATAATATTTATATTTCTTTTTTGGGGGGTTTATAGCAAATCGCACTTTTGGTCACACCAGTTCTTGTTCTTGTTGGATGGATGACATCAAGACCATTGACATTAGATTTTAACACTTTGGAAATTTGTGTGTTGGCATGTGCCGTGTTGATCGTAAATTATCTGGTTGCGGATGGTAAAGCAAATTGGTTAGAAGGTTATATGCTTATAGTAAGTAGTATTATCATGTAAAACTTTTTTTTTTTTAAAAAAAAGAAAATTTAATAATTTATAATTAATTTATACATTTATTTTTCTGTAGGTTTCTTACATCATTATCGCGGTTGCATTCTTCTATTTCCCTAATGTACCTGAACTCAAAGAAAACTTGAAATGTAATCCTTGGAGTAGAAATCTTCCACCGGAATTATTAGAAATATCTACTCCTGAGTCCCCACATCATTAAATTATCTTTTTTTTTCTATTTTTATTTTCTTCCTTGATTAAAGGAAAAAATCGTACTCTGCACAATTTATCACCAATTCAAAACTTCAAATTAATTTATTCATATCTTAAGCTATTCAATTCTCTTGAACCTTTCCGTTTTTCTCTTCCTTTCCTCCATTAAAGTCTCATCTCCGAATCCCTTCAAGATCTTCATTATCCGTTCGTTCCTTTTCTCTTTCCTCCTATCGTTAAATATTCACTTATAATAGTAGAAAATCATCACTCTCTTTTTATTTTCCTTTTTATGTGAGCTTTTTATTTATATAAATCAGGGTAATAAAATAAAAGAGTTAAATTGTCCAATTCATTGGGTCGGGTAACAACTTTAGAGATTTCTTTTACTTTAATGTATTATAATTATAACAAAACCTATACTTGTCCCTCACATATAACACGTGACAAATCGTACAAAAAAAATGAGTTTCACCGATGCCAGCCAGGTGTCAATTGAGCATTCAATCCAAAAAAAGATGTAAATAAAATTACAATTTATTGTACAAATAAGTCATCGTGAATATATATATATATTCTATATCTATATTTTAAAATACTTCTCAACCTTTTTCATACTCAAATCCATCCGAATTGAAATTTACTTTTTTTTAAAAAACTCCATCATTTTTTTCTCGTCACTACTTTATCTGATAATCTAATTAAAGCATTACGAGCATCGGATTCGGGTAATTTTAGAATGGCGCCAATAGCCTTTTGACAATGTGAAACGGCCAATAATTTTGTTTGCTCGATTCCATTGCTTTGATAAACTAATTCACGTGCCTATAAAAGTTACAAATGAAATCAGCGTACAATTCTTTTTTTTTTAAAAAAAAAATTTCTTTCCAACTTACCTTTTCCACGTCTCCATTTTTAGAAAATTTACGTTTTATTAGTGGACCCAATTCAGAATATTTCTCCCACGCATATAATACGGGTGCAGTGGCCAAACCCAACTTTAGATCTGCACCAACAGGCTTACCCAACTCTTTTTCACTAACAACAAAGTCCAACATATCATCAATTAACTACACATAAAACACAAAGCGTTAATATTTATTTTATTTGATAAAATTATAAATCAATCAATCAATAAAAATAAATATATGTATATATGTATTATATGTGGAAATCATGTGAATAAAGAAAACCCTCGGAACCTTCTTACTTGAAAAGCCAAACCTATATTTTTACCATAATTATAGGCTATTTCAGATACTTCTCGAGTAGATCCACCTAATACCGAAGCACCGCAACAACTCTTTGCGATTAAACTAGCGGTTTTCATGTAGGTTTTCTCCATGTAATATTCAAAAGGTGTCATGGTCGTGTTCGAAGAAGTTTTCTTGGATGTTTGGATATCTTTAAGTTGCATGAATTCGCCTTCAACCAGGTTGGCAATAACGGTGGCTACCAACTCAATGACTTCGGGATTACGTAAGCGAGCCAACGCGACTGATGCTCTAGCTAACAAGAAATCTCCTGCGAGTATTGACATCTTATTACCAAAACTTATGTTGGCTGAAGGATTGTTACGTCTGGTTTCGGATTCATCAATCACATCATCATGTAATAATGTTGCCGTATGAATGATTTCTGTAATCTCTGCCAACCTTCTTTGGGTTGGAAGTATTCTACCATTAGGAGAGGGCGTCAGAGAAGAAGAAGTAGTAGTAATAGTAGTAATGTCATTATTGTTTAATGCTTCGAACGATGATGTTAATGGTGATAATGACTCGTCTATTATTGAAGAATAGTCTATAGGTGCGGGATTATGCTGTTTTGGAGCTATGCTTGTTGCTTGTGACATTAATAATACGATTAAAGGTCTAATGCGTTTTCCTTCGGAAGAGAAATAATATTTACTAACAGTGTCTAATAATGGATGTCCACTTCCTAAAAGCCTCTTGATGTTTTTCGTTAAATCCGATAAATCTCTACCTAAAAGTTTAAATGGATCGATATCTTTTGTGCCTCCTCCAACTTGAATTATTTTTTCCGCTTCCGCTATCGCTTCATTCCATGTTGTCCCCACTCCACTTTTTTTAAACTTGTCATCTATTGTAAATTCCCTTTCTCTGAATATCGATGATTTAAACGTATTAAATCCATTCGTGATACGTTTTAGAAACGTTGGTGGTACATCTTTGGCTGTATCGGTTGCTGATGTATATATTGATGCTGCTGTTGATTTTGTTATTTTTATCTCGGAATATGAATGCGTTCGACGTATTGATACTGATATTTGTCTAGAGCAGATACGCAGCATTATCCATTAAAGTTTTTTTGAAGGATTTATAAATTACGTTAATATATTTATATCGATTTATTCTAAATTAAGTAATTGTTTGGAAATGATAATATAAATTTATATTAATTAACCCAACCAAGGAAAAAAAAAATTAAAATTAAAATGGAATCACAAATTTATAAGTTTGAAATAATAATAAAAAATTTCACCCCCAAAAAAATAAAAATAAAACTAAATACAAATTTTTTTTTTTTTTTTTTTTGCAACAGTTATATATTAGGATCTCGATCTTATGAAAATACGGGTTGTTGCAGAAATTTGTAGCCGATCATTCTTGATTTAGATAAAATAAGGTACATGAAAAATAAACTTTTAAATTTTTCCCGCGAAAAAAAAAAAATGGAGTATCGATATCACATGATTTATAAATTATATTTAATATAAACTTTTCTTATTAATAATATATAATACATAAATGCAATAAACAATATTTTAAAATAATAATTTATATTAATTTAAAAAATTTTATATAACTCAATTTTTCTCTTTTTTGTCTTCAGGAAAACCTTCTTTTGGCGGTCCATCGTAAGCTGGTGGCGCATCGTCAGGTTGTCCAAGGAAGAAGCCACCAACAAAACCACCTGGTGGTTGCGGTGAAGGAGCAGGAGCGGCTTGACCTGGCGGAGGAGGTTGTTGAAAACCACCATATGGATTTTGACCTTGTTGAGCTGGTCCATAAAATGACTGTTGAGGTTGATAGAAAGGTTGTTGATAATATTGTTGACCATAATACCCTTGTTGAGCTTGAGGTGGAGGTGGAGGTCCGAATCCACCAAATTGTGGAGGAACATGTGGTGTAGCAGGTCCAGGTCCATTTAACTCTGTAGTAGCATTTGAAGAAGTGGTACTAGGAGGTTCTTCACTAATAGCACTGCCTTCTGATAAAACTGGCACGTGTCCCACAATGTTACGGGTGGAAGATGTAGGATTTGAAAGGTTTGTTGTGATTGCCGGTGATATTTTTAATCCTGCAAGCTGATCCTTTATACTAGAAATGTCATCTTCTAATTTACCTATCTTATCTTCTTTTTGGTCAATCGTTGTAGAGTTAGATTTAAGGGTTTCTTCCAACTCCTTTATCACTTGAGACAATTTCCCTTTTTCTGTTGCTACACCATTAACATCAACTTGAAGTTTAGAAATAATCGAATCTCTTTCTCTAAGCGCAATTTCGTATTCTTGTTTTTGAGAAATTAAGGCATTATACTGTTTTAATTGTTCCTCATATTTATTCTTTGAAGCTCCTAATTCTGCAGAAATCTCATTAATTTTGGTATTAAATTCTTGTTTCTGAGATTCAAGAGCTGATGCCGCATCAGCACTTTTTTGCTCGGCTGTCGCCTTTTCTGTCTGTAATGTAGCAGATAAATCGTTGAGTTGTGCTTCATACCCCTCCTTTTGTGCGGCTAAAGCAGAAGTCAGCTCAGAAATTTGTGCTTCGTATTCTCGTTTTTGATTCTCTAAACTTGTAGCAAATCCGGTCACTTGAACTTCATGTTCATCCTTCAAAGCAGTCATGGTGGTAGTAAGTTGACTAACTTTTGCTTCATATTCCGTTTTTTGAGCAGCTAATTGTGCTGGAGCGGTGTTGGTTAAAGTTGGTAAAAGAGGTCGAATTTCTGAAGAGGATGGTTGCCAACGATGTAAAGCAAGCTGACAATCTTTAATCGTTTGTTGAGTTATCTCAGAACCTGTGAACAAAAAATAAAATTAAAAAGAAATTTTTTTCAATCGACACAATCATGAATTTCCTCAAAAAATTTTTTTTACCTTTGTATGGTAACTTTTGTTCACCAGGCCTAGTAGGAGTTGCATCAATTTGTTCAACAAGATCCCAACCAAAACCAGAAATAATGGCAGTTTTTTCCGCCGCTTCAAATGTAGCGTTTAAATGAACTGCTATCGCTTCTTTAAATAATCTTCTTTTAATGTTTGCAACATCATTTTCATCAACCAAAGCGTCATGATTAACCATTTTAAGATCAGCTTCAAGTTCTGCAATTCTAGGTGATTTTGGATGCGATTTCATTATTTTTGTTATTTCATCGTTAATCTTTCGTTTTTTTTCTTTATGAACGATAAGGCGTTCTTCAGATTTACGAATTTCTTTAATAATATTTCTATAATGCTCATATTTTTCTGTAAAGACGAAAAAAATAAAAATTAGTTGGTAAAAAAGTTTTTGATCATAATTTGGATCATATTTTCAAAGATTTTAATAATTATTCCTTACCGGTCAATACGGTCTCAACGTCTGAAATTTTTGTTAATAAATCAGCTAATCTTTCGGTAATATCCTATATATATATAGATAAGAAAAAAGTACTCGTCAACATTACGAGATCATTCATTGATTCTTTTGGATAATTTACTTACTGCAATGTCCTCACCACTTTCTCGTCCCCATATATATATATATTTACTCGCTATAAAAGAAAATTACTTAAATACATTTCCATACATTTCCAATGAAATAATACAAATAAAAGCAAATCCTTGGATGCTTAAAGAGAATGTTTTTATTTAAACTAACCTTCTTTCCTTTCATTTGCAGCATTTTGTAAACTCGTCAAAACATTTTTCTCTTCCTTCAAGTAGAGAGTAATGTTCTTCAAGTCCTCTGGTAACCTAGGGTCCAATTTAGAAAGATTCCTACGAACTTCATGTGATAAATTATCCTTGGTAAAACCTTTAATAGTATCGAAAATCGTTGTTTGTCTCCCTTCTGCGGGGGGCGGGACACTTAAACTACTCATATTTTTTTTTTCGGAATTCGTTGGCGAAAACAATAAGTAAATTTTAAGGATTTTTAGATCATTTTATATCATTACCAAGTCTGTACTATTAATAAAACGGAGGTTACGCAAGATTCTTTTTTCTTGGCCTAGAAAGGCTAAACACACTAGCCACTCGATCAAAATATGGCGGGCTCAGCCATTCCCGCAAAATTTTTTTTCCATTTAAATTTTACAGAAATTCATCATTTTTTTATTGCTTTAATTATACAAATGAATTATATACATATACAAGTGAATTGAAAATAATAATAATATATAAATGCCATTCTATATACAAATTTTTTTTTTTTAAAGAGAATCATTGGTCATATGAATTATCACTCCTTAACAATTCAAAATATTCTCTACGAAGTGACATTAATTCTTTATGAGTGCCAGATTCTACAATTTGACCATGTTCCACGAGCGCTATTTTACTCACATTTTTGACATTTTTTAAACGATGAGTTATCACCAAAGTGGTACGACCTTGTTGAGCCTTGCTTAAAGTTTCCTGAATTAAAGACTCATTTTTTGTGTCCAATGCACTTGTAGCTTCATCAAGTATAAGAATCTTTGGATTTCTTAAAAAAACTCTTGCTATTGCGATCCTTTGACGTTCTCCCCCTGACAATTGAGATCCTGATGTACCAAGTTTTGTGTTATAACCCCTTGGTAAGGATGAAATGAAATCATGCATGTTGACTTGTTTAGCGGCCATCTCAATTTCTTCTCGACTTGCATCATCTTTACCATACGAGATATTTTCTGATATGGTCATATCAAACAATACCGGTTCTTGACTAACGATCCCGATATTCTCTCTTAACCATTTTAATTGAATACCTTTAATATCCTCACCATCTAACGTGATCGATCCAGATGTTGGTTCATAAACTCTCTGTAATAAGGCGGCAATGGTCGATTTCCCGTTCCCACTTTTTCCTATTAGAGCAACGGATTTCCCGGGTTCCAAAGTTAGGTTTAATCCATCAATAATTTTACCATTAGGTCTTTCAGGATATGAAAAGTTTACATCCTTAAATATAATCGCGCCCTGCAGGTTGTCAGGACGAACGCCAACGTCATTCGGAACGGTTGGAAGATTAATTATGTACTGAATAGATTTGATGGCTTGTTTACACTTTGAATAATACGGGATTGTAGAAAGGATTCGCGAAGCAGAAGATGTGCAAAAGATAACCAAAGTCCAAACCGTCAGCATCGTTTTAAGATCGTAAACTCCTTGTGAGACTAATTGAGCTCCATACCAAAATGTTATCGCTTTGGTTAAATATGTCAACCCTTCCAAAAATCCCGCAGATAATCCAGAGATGAATGCCCTTTTGACCCCAATCAGGAAAGGTCTCTGGAGTGCCGTTTGAAATTTACTTTCCATGACCGATTCAACGGCGAGAGAATAAACGGTTCTAATGTTTGAGATGGCTTGATAAAATTCATTTGCCGCAGCTTCGATCGCAATTTTTTGTTTCGAATCGTATTTTTGTAAAATGTATTTAGGTAATTCCGAAACTAATAGTAAAACGGGAACCAACCCGAATCCGACCAAAGTTAATTTCCATCCCACCACCAAAGACCAAATCATTCCACCAATAATTGAAACCAATTCAACGATAACATTTCCGACAAAATGTCCAATTAGAGATTTCGCCGTTTGAAAATCTGAAATAAGCATCGTAGTCAATTTGCCCGTAGCATTTTCTGATTTATCAAACCATGATTGCGGTTGACGTATCACGTTTCCAAATCCAATGTGCCTTAAACGAATTGCCCATCGTTCTGACGCTCTTTCAAGCAACAAATACTTGAAAAATGCAGACACTCCCAATACCACGGAAATTAAAAGTACATAGATGGCCAATATTCTTGAATTTTTGAGAAGCTCATTTCTGTTGGGTATTGAATACGTATTTAATAGATTTGATAAGACAAATGAGAATGCGGGATTAACAATTCCATTTATTAATGCACTAAAAATACCAATCGTATAAAGCATTCTTTTATCCATAGTTTCTCTTATAAATTTAAAGAGGTTCAATTTGGGCTGTTTAGTAGTTGATGATTCATCGGAGTTTGTTACAATGACGTTTACAATATCTCCGTCAATATTCTCCTCATAATAACTAAGAATATCGTATAGGGAAGTGCGGCTATCAGAGTAAGTTTCCGCGGGTTCTCCACTCATATTCTCATAATAGCTAATAATATCGTTTATGGTTCTTTGCGTCGCTGTTCTTTTGACGCTCACGTTGTTATTATCACTATATTCATCGAGAATGGATTGTCTCCACCTCGTTTGACCCTTTTGGACGCGTTGAGAACGTTTAAGGGTAGTGGTGGTAACCTTATGAGCAAATGACATGAAGCCCATTCTTGCACTACTTGGTAATCCTAACGTAAAACGCCTCTTTAATCTAAAATCAATATTGTTCAATTCATTCGTATTACGTTTTGGATCTAGGTGATATTCATTTGCAAGGTTACTATAATGTCCATTAATATTCAATAATTCGGATTTTGTTCCGGACTCTACGATTTCACCCTCGTGCATTACGTAAACCAAGTCCGTGTCACGAATATGTTTTAGATGATGCGTGACAACAATTGTAGTTCGATTTTTCCGACAATTCTCGAGAGCTTCTTGTACTTTTGAGTCTAAAGTCAAATCGAGCGCGCTTGTTGCCTCATCCAATATAAGAATGCTCGGATCTTTGATTAGGGCTCGAGCGATCGCAATTCTTTGACGTTGACCTCCGGAAAGGTTTTTGCCCATATGGCTTAAATGATACTCATAACCATTTGGAAGAGATTCAATAGTTTCGTGAATGCATGCGAGTTTACAAGCCTGAATGACCTCATCCATCGTCACATTCAAATAATCGGCTCTTCCATAAGCAACATTTTTGAAAATGGTATCATCAAAGAGAACGGGTTCTTGACTTACGACACCGATCTGCTGTCTCAGCCAAGTGGTGTCAATTATTTTTAGCTCACTTTCATCTAATAAGATCAAACCATTGCTCGGTTCATAAAGTTTTTGAATTAATTGAGTTATGGTGGATTTACCCGAACCACTTTGTCCAACAAATACGGTCGTCTTTCCCGCCGGAATATTTAAGGTAACCCCTCTCAATGCTGACACATCCGGACGACTAGGGTATGAGAAACTTACTTGATTGAATTTTATGTTCCCTTTAATTTCAGGTAATTTAACCCCATTCAGATGTTGAAGATTCATCATTGACGTCCTCCCTAATAATTCGTTTATGACGCGTATAGCATTCTTCGCTTTTGACATTGCGATTAGCCTGGGAAATAACTGTTCTAAATTAGTTAACCCTAATAAACTTGCATAAAATACGCTAACTACACCACCCGGTGCCAATTTTTTGTCAGCTACTAATATTGAACCAAACCAAAACCCTTGAATGAATAAGGATAATGTCAAAAATTGTATTAGCCCCGCCCTAATGGCATACACCCATGCCAGTCGAGCCGAAACATTATCATTTGCTTCTTGCAAGCATTCATAATGTTTCTTTTCTTCTTTTGCTTCTCCATTAAATGCTCGAATTGTTTTGATGGCTGCGAGGGCATTTTCAAGTATATTACCGGCTTTTACAAAAAGGTCACGTTCTTTTACGACTAATGGGTTTGCACTACGGGAAGTTAAAGCGATCGTAACAAAGACAAGTGGGATCGAAGCTAATATCACGAGGGTAAGAATGGCATTTTTCGTGAAGGCCAATATAAAACAACTTAATATTATGACAACATATTGAATAAAGGATCCTAAATGATCAGATATGACGGTTTTTATGTCTTCGGTATCTTTATTCACACTTGTTAATAATCCACCAGAGGTTACATCATTTACTTCAAAATAACTAATACCCATTTTTAATAAGGAATTAAAATAAATCAACTTCATTCGTTTTGCTTGCCTTTCACCAGTCCACGACCAGCACGTGATCATGCAAGCTATAAGTATAAAAGAACCGATTCCCAACAGTGTAAAATTAAGTAACAAGGAATTGATTCGTCGGTCAAATGTTTGTTTGGTTATAATTCCAGTTTCTCTTTCCGTGAACACCTCAAATATGTCGCCAAGGAAATTCGACATGAGAGGAATTATCAGACCACTTAACATACTAAAGAAGGTTCCTAATGTCATGAGAACATAATCAAATAATGTTGCAAATCGAAAGATGTGAAAAAAAGAAGTGGATTTTATTCGTAATGAAGGTTTCATCACAGGTTTATCATCATTTTCAGTTGTTCTTGCAGCATCACTGTATAAAGGATCTTGCTTTATATAATTTTTCATCGAAATTAAGTTTTTAATTTTTTTTTATTTTATTTTATTTTTTTGTAAAAAAAAAACGAAATTATTTAAAGCAATAAGAACAATACTATTAAAGAATAAATCAATCGGCTCATATCTCAAAAAAAAATTTCGCGAGTTATTCCTTTACAGGAATTTGTGCGTAGATCCTGGACAATGGATGCTAAAAATAGCGGGTCTTGATATTATATCTTTTATTAAAACTAGTTGCGTTAAAACTAATTTAAACAAAATGATGGGTTTATGTATTTTTGAGTTAAATTGCTATTACATATTCTGTTAGACATCACATTCTTAAAAAGCAATTCCTTTTTTAATTTGTATTTGTCTATCAAAACAATGAGTGATAACAGAACAAAATCAATATAGGGAAATTCTTCAACCGAAAAAGTCCAATATTGTGTTGTTGTTCAGTAATTTAAGCAGCGACATTAAAAGCTAATGCAATATAATCTATATTATAAGTCTAAATAAAATACGTAATTATATCAGTCTTTTTTACAGTATATCCTTAATAATCAAATTGCTCGCAAAAGACATGCAACGCTTTTAAAAAAGCTTTTAAATCGATACATTATATTAAATATAAAATTAAATTTAAAACATATTTAATTCAATTCTCTAATCGGAAGCATAATTAGTAAATTTGGGAAGGTTCTAACGTTTTTATTTACAAAAAAATGTTCAAAATACTATAGTTATCTACCAAAAATGACCCTTCTTCTTGAAAATGTTTATTCGGCTAAATTTATTGTATCCAAAGTGTTGCTATGTCAACAATTATCAAATTTTGAAAATAAAAGAGCTTTAATATAAACTAAAGCCTGATTGTTTAATTGATTCTTTCGATTTTTAGTAAACGAAAAATTCCTTAATTTGTCGCTTCTATTGAATCCTTTACATATTAATATTTAGAATAAATTGGTAAATTAAAGTTTTACTAATACTATTTGAAAATCACTTAGACAAAACAATTTGGAGTCAATGAATTAAGAAAAAATATGTGACTTGACAAAGCAAATTGGTCTTTTTGGTGTAAGGTATAATTATTTATTTTTAAAAATAAACTATTAAAATGTCTATAATATATATTTAGTTAATAATATAGAAATAATAAAATAGTTTAGAACTATTCAAAAATGATGGTAAAGTTGATGATAACTTAGATAGTAAAATATTACTAACAGATATTGCTAAAGATTTTATATTAAAATAAGTATTACAATTATTTTTCAAAATTATAATAATCAAAATATCTAAATAACCAAATTTAAAAAATCTTTATATATCATTAAATTTTAAAAATAATGTCTATTACACATCTTTTTTTATAATTACCAAAAATTGTTTATTTTAGCAGTTTATTTATAACGTCTTTTGAGATTTCAACCTAGTTATTATATAATATTTGTAGTTGATTTCTCTCAAAATTTATGATTTTTTATAAATTTTGAATTTTTTAGATATTTATCAAATAATTTATACTTTTAGTAGAAACTTGAAGTAAAGAATTATTTCTTTATTATAATATCCTATAAGAAATCAAAATAAGAAAATAATACGTTTTTATAAGGTTTATATATGTAATTGATGATTCCGTATCATAATTCTGTATGTTTTATAATGATTTATTTTTTTTAAATTTTTTAGAAAATTGATGTAAACAGAATTATTATGATAACCTACCGTATGATGTAAGAAAAAAAAGCAAAGTGTTAGTATGCTGCAGTCAAACTAAATGAGGTTGAACTTACTGTCACACTCTTTCAGAAAACAAATAGGTTGCATATTCTGTCAAGCTCAGGCAAAGCCCATTCTGAGATGCGTTCCATATATCCAATCACCTAATCTAAAACCATTCTTAAGTCTACCTATCATACCTTTAAAAACTCTTTTATTATTACATTCTCTTTGATAAATTAAAGGTCTATAACGAAATGAAGGGAGATTTCTTCTTGTTTACTCTAACCATAATGAATATAAGTTATTTTGCTAAAAAGAAAATAATAAGATAAATATCTACATTAATATAATACTTATATTGACTCCATTCAATCTCTAGTTTTTCAGTCCTCAGAAAGCATCAAATGTATGGCATCTTCTCAATACTTTAATAAACTTAAAATATCACAGTAATTTTAAGTATTATTCGTTAAATCTTTAACAGGTAAAATGTATTTTATTAAAGAGAAACAAAAACTTATAAAAGAAAAATAGCAATAATTTTGATAGTAGAAAAATTTTCTTTGAAAAAAAGAAGAAATTTGAAAAGGGATTTTTATATTCAAATAAATAGCATAAGAAAATTTTAAACAACATGGGAAAATTTTCTTTTGCAGAAAAATAAATAAAGGATTATTGATATCCATTAGCTGATCATAATCATCAAACAAGAAATTTGTAGAACATGATAAATCTTGTTTATGGATCGAATATGATGATTAAAATAAAAGAAATTGTAGAATCATAACAAATATAATATTCAAGCTCAATTTGGTATATGCATATTCAAAATTAAGAAAAAATTTTTTTATTTTACGTAAAATTTATACGTTATTTCAAATACTTTAATAATTTTGTATACAGTCATCCTCCTATATAGTCACCTATTATATAGTTACACCTTCTCTTTAATCACATTGATCTACAGTCCCAAATTTTTATATATAAATGACTCTTATATATAATCACAAATATAATTATCTTTTGAAACTCTTATGATAATTCGTCCTTTGAATGCAAAAATATCTCACTTAGGGACTTGACCTAATATCTTGGTATATGGATCTCTGCTCAATATAATAAAAAGTTTATCAAACACCAAATCTCCTTGGAAATTGCTTCTTTCAGAGACAAACTTAGATTTAAATCTTTAACTGACAAACAACTGCGCTATTTAAACAATATAATCCTTATTTCTCATTTAGAATACAGATCAAGACTCATTATTCTTTCTGAACTCAAAGGTAATAATCTCTATAAACTTATGCGAAGGTTTATTAAACATAAATTAGGACTCAGACTTAGCATTCCTAATTCAATTCTTCATAATAAACTAGCCTACGGCTTTCATGATCTAGCAGCTGTTTCTTAACCTTTCAAAATATAACAGTTTATCAATATTGTTAATTCTTCAGTCGACAATTCTATTTTAGGACTAACAACTGTTATATACCTCAAACAGCTCTAATAACATTTTTGGTTATACAATAACCCTCTCATCTGTTGACCATCATCTTTCAAACATTATTGACATACCAATTTTCTTTCAAATTTTTTCATTATTTACCATGAATCTGATTTCTCGTTTATTAGTTCTTCAAGAATGATAAAACTCTTTCGTATCAAAGGTGGATTAATTCCTTTCCAAACTATCATGCCTTGGCATTCTAACGATATACATAATATCCATTCAAAAAATATCCTTTTTCTTTCTCAGATCGTTGCCACAGGCAAATTCCTCTTTAACTATCATGACATTTAACTTAGATCCTATTTCTTGACAAACTTCAACGGTGTTGCCTTACGTTGGTTTAAAGTGTTAAATAAATAGTTTTATCTAACCCAGTTCACTCTAACCGTCTTAAACCAGAATTCTGTTTTGAAACTCAAGTATTCAATGATTACAACACTTCTTCATCAATTGCTGATTTTTAATGGAACACTGGCTGGGCTAATCTATGGACTCCTCCAGAATACAACATATACAATTTCCTGACTCCAGGCATACCTATATTTGGAAAAGTCTTCAAACTTGTTTCTTCTGCTTCACTATGTCTTTTTCAGCACTTCATTTTGACAAATCCTACCAATGATCCTCATTCACCATCAAAGAGGTCTGATGTGCTCATTCCTTGTACCAGTTGCTTGTTTAACAAAAATTGAAAGAAATTTAAAATTAAACCAAAGTTTAAAAAGCTTCACTGTGCTAATTTTGTGGATCCATTATTACCAAATCCTATTTCTACATCTCCTCTGCTCCTAAATAATGAAAAAAATCTTTATGTGTCTAAAAGATTATTATGATCAATTCTGGATCAAGCCATTGCTTGATTCCGTTCCATACTGTAAACGGATCTACAAAGTGATCTGCAAAATCGATCTACAAAAGGGATTTGCAGAATTGATCAACAGAATGATTTA